TGTTGGTCCTGTGGACCGGTTGGACCAACCGGCCTGTTGGTCCTGTGGACCGGTTGGACCAACCGGCCTGTTGGTCCTGTGGACCGGTTGGACCAACCGGCCTGTTGGTCCTGTGGACCGGTTGGACCAACCGGCCTGTTGGTCCTGTGGACCGGTTGGACCAACCGGCCTGTTGGTCCTGTGGACCGGTTGGACCAACCGGCCTGTTGGTCCTGTGGACCGGTTGGACCAACCGGCCTGTTGGTCCTGTGGACCGGTTGGACCAACCGGCCTGTTGGTCCTGTGGACCGGTTGGACCAACCGGCCTGTTGGTCCTGTGGACCGGTTGGACCAACCGGCCTGTTGGTCCTGTGGACCGGTTGGACCAACCGGCCTGTTGGTCCTGTGGACCGGTTGGACCAACCGGCCTGTTGGTCCTGTGGACCGGTTGGACCAACCGGCCTGTTGGTCCTGTGGACCGGTTGGACCAACCGGCCTGTTGGTCCTGTGGACCGGTTGGACCAACCGGCCTGTTGGTCCTGTGGACCGGTTGGACCAACCGGCCTGTTGGTCCTGTGGACCGGTTGGACCAACCGGCCTGTTGGTCCTGTGGACCGGTTGGACCAACCGGCCTGTTGGTCCTGTGGACCGGTTGGACCAACCGGCCTGTTGGTCCTGTGGACCGGTTGGACCAACCGGCCTGTTGGTCCTGTGGACCGGTTGGACCAACCGGCCTGTTGGTCCTGTGGACCGGTTGGACCAACCGGCCTGTTGGTCCTGTGGACCGGTTGGACCAACCGGCCTGTTGGTCCTGTGGACCGGTTGGACCAACCGGCCTGTTGGTCCTGTGGACCGGTTGGACCAACCGGCCTGTTGGTCCTGTGGACCGGTTGGACCAACCGGCCTGTTGGTCCTGTGGACCGGTTGGACCAACCGGCCTGTTGGTCCTGTGGACCGGTTGGACCAACCGGCCTGTTGGTCCTGTGGACCGGTTGGACCAACCGGCCTGTTGGTCCTGTGGACCGGTTGGACCAACCGGCCTGTTGGTCCTGTGGACCGGTTGGACCAACCGGCCTGTTGGTCCTGTGGACCGGTTGGACCAACCGGCCTGTTGGTCCTGTGGACCGGTTGGACCAACCGGCCTGTTGGTCCTGTGGACCGGTTGGACCAACCGGCCTGTTGGTCCTGTGGACCGGTTGGACCAACCGGCCTGTTGGTCCTGTGGACCGGTTGGACCAACCGGCCTGTTGGTCCTGTGGACCGGTTGGACCAACCGGCCTGTTGGTCCTGTGGACCGGTTGGACCAACCGGCCTGTTGGTCCTGTGGACCGGTTGGACCAACCGGCCTGTTGGTCCTGTGGACCGGTTGGACCAACCGGCCTGTTGGTCCTGTGGACCGGTTGGACCAACCGGCCTGTTGGTCCTGTGGACCGGTTGGACCAACCGGCCTGTTGGTCCTGTGGACCGGTTGGACCAACCGGCCTGTTGGTCCTGTGGACCGGTTGGACCAACCGGCCTGTTGGTCCTGTGGACCGGTTGGACCAACCGGCCTGTTGGTCCTGTGGACCGGTTGGACCAACCGGCCTGTTGGTCCTGTGGACCGGTTGGACCAACCGGCCTGTTGGTCCTGTGGACCGGTTGGACCAACCGGCCTGTTGGTCCTGTGGACCGGTTGGACCAACCGGCCTGTTGGTCCTGTGGACCGGTTGGACCAACCGGCCTGTTGGTCCTGTGGACCGGTTGGACCAACCGGCCTGTTGGTCCTGTGGACCGGTTGGACCAACCGGCCTGTTGGTCCTGTGGACCGGTTGGACCAACCGGCCTGTTGGTCCTGTGGACCGGTTGGACCAACCGGCCTGTTGGTCCTGTGGACCGGTTGGACCAACCGGCCTGTTGGTCCTGTGGACCGGTTGGACCAACCGGCCTGTTGGTCCTGTGGACCGGTTGGACCAACCGGCCTGTTGGTCCTGTGGACCGGTTGGACCAACCGGCCTGTTGGTCCTGTGGACCGGTTGGACCAACCGGCCTGTTGGTCCTGTGGACCGGTTGGACCAACCGGCCTGTTGGTCCTGTGGACCGGTTGGACCAACCGGCCTGTTGGTCCTGTGGACCGGTTGGACCAACCGGCCTGTTGGTCCTGTGGACCGGTTGGACCAACCGGCCTGTTGGTCCTGTGGACCGGTTGGACCAACCGGCCTGTTGGTCCTGTGGACCGGTTGGACCAACCGGCCTGTTGGTCCTGTGGACCGGTTGGACCAACCGGCCTGTTGGTCCTGTGGACCGGTTGGACCAACCGGCCTGTTGGTCCTGTGGACCGGTTGGACCAACCGGCCTGTTGGTCCTGTGGACCGGTTGGACCAACCGGCCTGTTGGTCCTGTGGACCGGTTGGACCAACCGGCCTGTTGGTCCTGTGGACCGGTTGGACCAACCGGCCTGTTGGTCCTGTGGACCGGTTGGACCAACCGGCCTGTTGGTCCTGTGGACCGGTTGGACCAACCGGCCTGTTGGTCCTGTGGACCGGTTGGACCAACCGGCCTGTTGGTCCTGTGGACCGGTTGGACCAACCGGCCTGTTGGTCCTGTGGACCGGTTGGACCAACCGGCCTGTTGGTCCTGTGGACCGGTTGGACCAACCGGCCTGTTGGTCCTGTGGACCGGTTGGACCAACCGGCCTGTTGGTCCTGTGGACCGGTTGGACCAACCGGCCTGTTGGTCCTGTGGACCGGTTGGACCAACCGGCCTGTTGGTCCTGTGGACCGGTTGGACCAACCGGCCTGTTGGTCCTGTGGACCGGTTGGACCAACCGGCCTGTTGGTCCTGTGGACCGGTTGGACCAACCGGCCTGTTGGTCCTGTGGACCGGTTGGACCAACCGGCCTGTTGGTCCTGTGGACCGGTTGGACCAACCGGCCTGTTGGTCCTGTGGACCGGTTGGACCAACCGGCCTGTTGGTCCTGTGGACCGGTTGGACCAACCGGCCTGTTGGTCCTGTGGACCGGTTGGACCAACCGGCCTGTTGGTCCTGTGGACCGGTTGGACCAACCGGCCTGTTGGTCCTGTGGACCGGTTGGACCAACCGGCCTGTTGGTCCTGTGGACCGGTTGGACCAACCGGCCTGTTGGTCCTGTGGACCGGTTGGACCAACCGGCCTGTTGGTCCTGTGGACCGGTTGGACCAACCGGCCTGTTGGTCCTGTGGACCGGTTGGACCAACCGGCCTGTTGGTCCTGTGGACCGGTTGGACCAACCGGCCTGTTGGTCCTGTGGACCGGTTGGACCAACCGGCCTGTTGGTCCTGTGGACCGGTTGGACCAACCGGCCTGTTGGTCCTGTGGACCGGTTGGACCAACCGGCCTGTTGGTCCTGTGGACCGGTTGGACCAACCGGCCTGTTGGTCCTGTGGACCGGTTGGACCAACCGGCCTGTTGGTCCTGTGGACCGGTTGGACCAACCGGCCTGTTGGTCCTGTGGACCGGTTGGACCAACCGGCCTGTTGGTCCTGTGGACCGGTTGGACCAACCGGCCTGTTGGTCCTGTGGACCGGTTGGACCAACCGGCCTGTTGGTCCTGTGGACCGGTTGGACCAACCGGCCTGTTGGTCCTGTGGACCGGTTGGACCAACCGGCCTGTTGGTCCTGTGGACCGGTTGGACCAACCGGCCTGTTGGTCCTGTGGACCGGTTGGACCAACCGGCCTGTTGGTCCTGTGGACCGGTTGGACCAACCGGCCTGTTGGTCCTGTGGACCGGTTGGACCAACCGGCCTGTTGGTCCTGTGGACCGGTTGGACCAACCGGCCTGTTGGTCCTGTGGACCGGTTGGACCAACCGGCCTGTTGGTCCTGTGGACCGGTTGGACCAACCGGCCTGTTGGTCCTGTGGACCGGTTGGACCAACCGGCCTGTTGGTCCTGTGGACCGGTTGGACCAACCGGCCTGTTGGTCCTGTGGACCGGTTGGACCAACCGGCCTGTTGGTCCTGTGGACCGGTTGGACCAACCGGCCTGTTGGTCCTGTGGACCGGTTGGACCAACCGGCCTGTTGGTCCTGTGGACCGGTTGGACCAACCGGCCTGTTGGTCCTGTGGACCGGTTGGACCAACCGGCCTGTTGGTCCTGTGGACCGGTTGGACCAACCGGCCTGTTGGTCCTGTGGACCGGTTGGACCAACCGGCCTGTTGGTCCTGTGGACCGGTTGGACCAACCGGCCTGTTGGTCCTGTGGACCGGTTGGACCAACCGGCCTGTTGGTCCTGTGGACCGGTTGGACCAACCGGCCTGTTGGTCCTGTGGACCGGTTGGACCAACCGGCCTGTTGGTCCTGTGGACCGGTTGGACCAACCGGCCTGTTGGTCCTGTGGACCGGTTGGACCAACCGGCCTGTTGGTCCTGTGGACCGGTTGGACCAACCGGCCTGTTGGTCCTGTGGACCGGTTGGACCAACCGGCCTGTTGGTCCTGTGGACCGGTTGGACCAACCGGCCTGTTGGTCCTGTGGACCGGTTGGACCAACCGGCCTGTTGGTCCTGTGGACCGGTTGGACCAACCGGCCTGTTGGTCCTGTGGACCGGTTGGACCAACCGGCCTGTTGGTCCTGTGGACCGGTTGGACCAACCGGCCTGTTGGTCCTGTGGACCGGTTGGACCAACCGGCCTGTTGGTCCTGTGGACCGGTTGGACCAACCGGCCTGTTGGTCCTGTGGACCGGTTGGACCAACCGGCCTGTTGGTCCTGTGGACCGGTTGGACCAACCGGCCTGTTGGTCCTGTGGACCGGTTGGACCAACCGGCCTGTTGGTCCTGTGGACCGGTTGGACCAACCGGCCTGTTGGTCCTGTGGACCGGTTGGACCAACCGGCCTGTTGGTCCTGTGGACCGGTTGGACCAACCGGCCTGTTGGTCCTGTGGACCGGTTGGACCAACCGGCCTGTTGGTCCTGTGGACCGGTTGGACCAACCGGCCTGTTGGTCCTGTGGACCGGTTGGACCAACCGGCCTGTTGGTCCTGTGGACCGGTTGGACCAACCGGCCAGTTGGTCCTGTGGACCGGTTGGACCAACCGGCCTGTTGGTCCTGTGGACCGGTTGGACCAACCGGCCTGTTGGTCCTGTGGACCGGTTGGACCAACCGGCCTGTTGGTCCTGTGGACCGGTTGGACCAACCGGCCTGTTGGTCCTGTGGACCGGTTGGACCAACCGGCCTGTTGGTCCTGTGGACCGGTTGGACCAACCGGCCTGTTGGTCCTGTGGACCGGTTGGACCAACCGGCCTGTTGGTCCTGTGGACCGGTTGGACCAACCGGCCTGTTGGTCCTGTGGACCGGTTGGACCAACCGGCCTGTTGGTCCTGTGGACCGGTTGGACCAACCGGCCTGTTGGTCCTGTGGACCGGTTGGACCAACCGGCCTGTTGGTCCTGTGGACCGGTTGGACCAACCGGCCTGTTGGTCCTGTGGACCGGTTGGACCAACCGGCCTGTTGGTCCTGTGGACCGGTTGGACCAACCGGCCTGTTGGTCCTGTGGACCGGTTGGACCAACCGGCCTGTTGGTCCTGTGGACCGGTTGGACCAACCGGCCTGTTGGTCCTGTGGACCGGTTGGACCAACCGGCCTGTTGGTCCTGTGGACCGGTTGGACCAACCGGCCTGTTGGTCCTGTGGACCGGTTGGACCAACCGGCCTGTTGGTCCTGTGGACCGGTTGGACCAACCGGCCTGTTGGTCCTGTGGACCGGTTGGACCAACCGGCCTGTTGGTCCTGTGGACCGGTTGGACCAACCGGCCTGTTGGTCCTGTGGACCGGTTGGACCAACCGGCCTGTTGGTCCTGTGGACCGGTTGGACCAACCGGCCTGTTGGTCCTGTGGACCGGTTGGACCAACCGGCCTGTTGGTCCTGTGGACCGGTTGGACCAACCGGCCTGTTGGTCCTGTGGACCGGTTGGACCAACCGGCCTGTTGGTCCTGTGGACCGGTTGGACCAACCGGCCTGTTGGTCCTGTGGACCGGTTGGACCAACCGGCCTGTTGGTCCTGTGGACCGGTTGGACCAACCGGCCTGTTGGTCCTGTGGACCGGTTGGACCAACCGGCCTGTTGGTCCTGTGGACCGGTTGGACCAACCGGCCTGTTGGTCCTGTGGACCGGTTGGACCAACCGGCCTGTTGGTCCTGTGGACCGGTTGGACCAACCGGCCTGTTGGTCCTGTGGACCGGTTGGACCAACCGGCCTGTTGGTCCTGTGGACCGGTTGGACCAACCGGCCTGTTGGTCCTGTGGACCGGTTGGACCAACCGGCCTGTTGGTCCTGTGGACCGGTTGGACCAACCGGCCTGTTGGTCCTGTGGACCGGTTGGACCAACCGGCCTGTTGGTCCTGTGGACCGGTTGGACCAACCGGCCTGTTGGTCCTGTGGACCGGTTGGACCAACCGGCCTGTTGGTCCTGTGGACCGGTTGGACCAACCGGCCTGTTGGTCCTGTGGACCGGTTGGACCAACCGGCCTGTTGGTCCTGTGGACCGGTTGGACCAACCGGCCTGTTGGTCCTGTGGACCGGTTGGACCAACCGGCCTGTTGGTCCTGTGGACCGGTTGGACCAACCGGCCAGTTGGTCCTGTGGACCGGTTGGACCAACCGGCCTGTTGGTCCTGTGGACCGGTTGGACCAACCGGCCTGTTGGTCCTGTGGACCGGTTGGACCAACCGGCCTGTTGGTCCTGTGGACCGGTTGGACCAACCGGCCTGTTGGTCCTGTGGACCGGTTGGACCAACCGGCCTGTTGGTCCTGTGGACCGGTTGGACCAACCGGCCTGTTGGTCCTGTGGACCGGTTGGACCAACCGGCCTGTTGGTCCTGTGGACCGGTTGGACCAACCGGCCTGTTGGTCCTGTGGACCGGTTGGACCAACCGGCCTGTTGGTCCTGTGGACCGGTTGGACCAACCGGCCTGTTGGTCCTGTGGACCGGTTGGACCAACCGGCCTGTTGGTCCTGTGGACCGGTTGGACCAACCGGCCTGTTGGTCCTGTGGACCGGTTGGACCAACCGGCCTGTTGGTCCTGTGGACCGGTTGGACCAACCGGCCTGTTGGTCCTGTGGACCGGTTGGACCAACCGGCCTGTTGGTCCTGTGGACCGGTTGGACCAACCGGCCTGTTGGTCCTGTGGACCGGTTGGACCAACCGGCCTGTTGGTCCTGTGGACCGGTTGGACCAACCGGCCTGTTGGTCCTGTGGACCGGTTGGACCAACCGGCCTGTTGGTCCTGTGGACCGGTTGGACCAACCGGCCTGTTGGTCCTGTGGACCGGTTGGACCAACCGGCCTGTTGGTCCTGTGGACCGGTTGGACCAACCGGCCTGTTGGTCCTGTGGACCGGTTGGACCAACCGGCCTGTTGGTCCTGTGGACCGGTTGGACCAACCGGCCTGTTGGTCCTGTGGACCGGTTGGACCAACCGGCCTGTTGGTCCTGTGGACCGGTTGGACCAACCGGCCTGTTGGTCCTGTGGACCGGTTGGACCAACCGGCCTGTTGGTCCTGTGGACCGGTTGGACCAACCGGCCTGTTGGTCCTGTGGACCGGTTGGACCAACCGGCCTGTTGGTCCTGTGGACCGGTTGGACCAACCGGCCTGTTGGTCCTGTGGACCGGTTGGACCAACCGGCCTGTTGGTCCTGTGGACCGGTTGGACCAACCGGCCTGTTGGTCCTGTGGACCGGTTGGACCAACCGGCCTGTTGGTCCTGTGGACCGGTTGGACCAACCGGCCTGTTGGTCCTGTGGACCGGTTGGACCAACCGGCCTGTTGGTCCTGTGGACCGGTTGGACCAACCGGCCTGTTGGTCCTGTGGACCGGTTGGACCAACCGGCCTGTTGGTCCTGTGGACCGGTTGGACCAACCGGCCTGTTGGTCCTGTGGACCGGTTGGACCAACCGGCCTGTTGGTCCTGTGGACCGGTTGGACCAACCGGCCTGTTGGTCCTGTGGACCGGTTGGACCAACCGGCCTGTTGGTCCTGTGGACCGGTTGGACCAACCGGCCTGTTGGTCCTGTGGACCGGTTGGACCAACCGGCCTGTTGGTCCTGTGGACCGGTTGGACCAACCGGCCTGTTGGTCCTGTGGACCGGTTGGACCAACCGGCCTGTTGGTCCTGTGGACCGGTTGGACCAACCGGCCTGTTGGTCCTGTGGACCGGTTGGACCAACCGGCCTGTTGGTCCTGTGGACCGGTTGGACCAACCGGCCTGTTGGTCCTGTGGACCGGTTGGACCAACCGGCCTGTTGGTCCTGTGGACCGGTTGGACCAACCGGCCTGTTGGTCCTGTGGACCGGTTGGACCAACCGGCCTGTTGGTCCTGTGGACCGGTTGGACCAACCGGCCTGTTGGTCCTGTGGACCGGTTGGACCAACCGGCCTGTTGGTCCTGTGGACCGGTTGGACCAACCGGCCAGTTGGTCCTGTGGACCGGTTGGACCAACCGGCCTGTTGGTCCTGTGGACCGGTTGGACCAACCGGCCTGTTGGTCCTGTGGACCGGTTGGACCAACCGGCCTGTTGGTCCTGTGGACCGGTTGGACCAACCGGCCTGTTGGTCCTGTGGACCGGTTGGACCAACCGGCCTGTTGGTCCTGTGGACCGGTTGGACCAACCGGCCAGTTGGTCCTGTGGACCGGTTGGACCAACCGGCCAGTTGGTCCTGTGGACCGGTTGGACCAACCGGCCAGTTGGTCCTGTGGACCGGTTGGACCAACCGGCCAGTTGGTCCTGTGGACCGGTTGGACCAACCGGCCTGTTGGTCCTGTGGACCGGTTGGACCAACCGGCCTGTTGGTCCTGTGGACCGGTTGGACCAACCGGCCTGTTGGTCCTGTGGACCGGTTGGACCAACCGGCCTGTTGGTCCTGTGGACCGGTTGGACCAACCGGCCAGTTGGTCCTGTGGACCGGTTGGACCAACCGGCCTGTTGGTCCTGTGGACCGGTTGGACCAACCGGCCTGTTGGTCCTGTGGACCGGTTGGACCAACCGGCCTGTTGGTCCTGTGGACCGGTTGGACCAACCGGCCTGTTGGTCCTGTGGACCGGTTGGACCAACCGGCCTGTTGGTCCTGTGGACCGGTTGGACCAACCGGCCTGTTGGTCCTGTGGACCGGTTGGACCAACCGGCCTGTTGGTCCTGTGGACCGGTTGGACCAACCGGCCAGTTGGTCCTGTGGACCGGTTGGACCAACCGGCCTGTTGGTCCTGTGGACCGGTTGGACCAACCGGCCTGTTGGTCCTGTGGACCGGTTGGACCAACCGGCCTGTTGGTCCTGTGGACCGGTTGGACCAACCGGCCTGTTGGTCCTGTGGACCGGTTGGACCAACCGGCCTGTTGGTCCTGTGGACCGGTTGGACCAACCGGCCTGTTGGTCCTGTGGACCGGTTGGACCAACCGGCCTGTTGGTCCTGTGGACCGGTTGGACCAACCGGCCTGTTGGTCCTGTGGACCGGTTGGACCAACCGGCCTGTTGGTCCTGTGGACCGGTTGGACCAACCGGCCTGTTGGTCCTGTGGACCGGTTGGACCAACCGGCCTGTTGGTCCTGTGGACCGGTTGGACCAACCGGCCTGTTGGTCCTGTGGACCGGTTGGACCAACCGGCCAGTTGGTCCTGTGGACCGGTTGGACCAACCGGCCTGTTGGTCCTGTGGACCGGTTGGACCAACCGGCCTGTTGGTCCTGTGGACCGGTTGGACCAACCGGCCTGTTGGTCCTGTGGACCGGTTGGACCAACCGGCCTGTTGGTCCTGTGGACCGGTTGGACCAACCGGCCTGTTGGTCCTGTGGACCGGTTGGACCAACCGGCCAGTTGGTCCTGTGGACCGGTTGGACCAACCGGCCTGTTGGTCCTGTGGACCGGTTGGACCAACCGGCCTGTTGGTCCTGTGGACCGGTTGGACCAACCGGCCTGTTGGTCCTGTGGACCGGTTGGACCAACCGGCCTGTTGGTCCTGTGGACCGGTTGGACCAACCGGCCTGTTGGTCCTGTGGACCGGTTGGACCAACCGGCCAGTTGGTCCTGTGGACCGGTTGGACCAACCGGCCTGTTGGTCCTGTGGACCGGTTGGACCAACCGGCCTGTTGGTCCTGTGGACCGGTTGGACCAACCGGCCTGTTGGTCCTGTGGACCGGTTGGACCAACCGGCCTGTTGGTCCTGTGGACCGGTTGGACCAACCGGCCTTGGTCCTGTGGACCGGTTGGACCAACCGGCCTGTTGGTCCTGTGGACCGGTTGGACCAACCGGCCAGTTGGTCCTGTGGACCGTTGGACCAACCGGCCAGTTGGTCCTGTGGACCGGTTGGACCAACCGGCCTGTTGGTCCTGTGGACCGGTTGGACCAACCGGCCTGTTGGTCCTGTGGACCGGTTGGACCAACCGGCCAGTTGGTCCTGTGGACCGGTTGGACCAACCGGCCTGTTGGTCCTGTGGACCGGTTGGACCAACCGGCCTGTTGGTCCTGTGGACCGGTTGGACCAACCGGCCTGTTGGTCCTGTGGACCGGTTGGACCAACCGGCCTGTTGGTCCTGTGGACCGGTTGGACCAACCGGCCAGTTGGTCCTGTGGACCGGTTGGACCAACCGGCCTGTTGGTCCTGTGGACCGGTTGGACCAACCGGCCTGTTGGTCCTGTGGACCGGTTGGACCAACCGGCCTGTTGGTCCTGTGGACCGGTTGGACCAACCGGCCTGTTGGTCCTGGGACCGGTTGGACCAACCGGCCTGTTGGTCCTGTGGACCGGTTGGACCAACCGGCCTGTTGGTCCTGTGGACCGGTTGGACCAACCGGCCTGTTGGTCCTGTGGACCGGTTGGACCAACCGGCCTGTTGGTCCTGTGGACCGGTTGGACCAACCGGCAGTTGGTCCTGTGGACCGGTTGGACCAACCGGCCAGTTGGTCCTGTGGACCGGTTGGACCAACGGGCCTGTTGGTCCTGTGGACCGGTTGGACCAACGGCCTGTTGGTCCTGTGGACCGGTTGGACCAACGGCCTGTTGGTCCTGTGGACCGGTTGGACCAACCGGCCTGTTGGTCCTGTGGGACCGGTTGGACCAACCGGCCTGTTGGTCCTGTGGACCGGTTGGACCAACCGGCCTGTTGGTCCTGTGGACCGGTTGGACCAACCGGCCTGTTGGTCCTGTGGACGGTTGGACCAAACGGCCTGTTGGTCCTGTGGACCGGTTGGACCAACCGGCCAGTTGGTCCTGTGGACCGGTTGGACCAACCGGCCAGTTGGTCCTGTGGACCGGTTGGACCAACCGGCCTGTTGGTCCTGTGGACCGGTTGGACCAACGGCCTGTTGGTCCTGTGGACCGGTTGGACCAACCGGCCTGTTGGTCCTGTGGACCGGTTGGACCAACCGGCCTGTTGGTCCTGTGGACCGGTTGGACCAACCGGCCTGTTGGTCCTGTGGACCGGTTGGACCAACCGGCCTGTTGGTCCTGTGGACCGGTTGGACCAACCGGCCAGTTGGTCCTGTGGACCGGTTGGACCAACCGGCCTGTTGGTCCTGTGGACCGGTTGGACCAACCGGCCTGTTGGTCCTGTGGACCGGTTGGACCAACCGGCCTGTTGGTCCTGTGGACCGGTTGGACCAACCGGCCAGTTGGTCCTGTGGACCGGTTGGACCAACCGGCCTGTTGGTCCTGTGGACCGGTTGGACCAACCGGCTGTTGGTCCTGTGGACCGGTTGGACCAACCGGCCTGTTGGTCCTGTGGACCGGTTGGACCAACCGGCCTGTTGGTCCTGTGGACCGGTTGGACCAACCGGCCTGTTGGTCCTGTGGACCGGTTGGACCAACCGGCCTGTTGGTCCTGTGGACCGGTTGGACCAACCGGCCTGTTGGTCCTGTGGACCGGTTGGACCAACCGGCCTGTTGGTCCTGTGGACCGGTTGGACCAACCGGCCTGTTGGTCCTGTGGACCGGTTGGACCAACCGGCCTGTTGGTCCTGTGGACCGGTTGGACCAACCGGCCTGTTGGTCCTGTGGACCGGTTGGACCAACCGGCCTGTTGGTCTGTGGACCGGTTGGACCAACCGGCCTGTTGGTCCTGTGGACCGGTTGGACCAACCGGCCTGTTGGTCCTGTGGACCGGTTGGACCAACCGGCCAGTTGGTCCTGTGGACCGGTTGGACCAACCGGCCAGTTGGTCCTGTGGACCGGTTGGACCAACCGGCTTGTGGTCCTGTGGACCGGTTGGACCAACCGGCCTGTTGGTCCTGTGGACCGGTTGGACCAACCGGCCTGTTGGTCCTGTGGACCGGTTGGACCAACCGGCCTGTTGGTCCTGTGGACCGGTTGGACCAACCGGCCTGTTGGTCCTGTGGACCGGTTGGACCAACCGGCCAGTTGGTCCTGTGGACCGGTTGGACCAACCGGCCTGTTGGTCCTGTGGACCGGTTGGACCAACCGGCCTGTTGGTCCTGTGGACCGGTTGGACCAACCGGCCTGTTGGTCCTGTGGACCGGTTGGACCAACCGGCCTGTTGGTCCTGTGGACCGGTTGGACCAACCGGCCTGTTGGTCCTGTGGACCGGTTGGACCAACCGGCCTGTTGGTCCTGTGGACCGGTTGGACCAACCGGCCTGTTGGTCCTGTGGACCGGTTGGACCAACCGGCCTGTTGGTCCTGTGGACCGGTTGGACCAACCGGCCTGTTGGTCCTGTGGACCGGTTGGACCAACCGGCCTGTTGGTCCTGTGGACCGGTTGGACCAACCGGCCTGTTGGTCCTGTGGACCGGTTGGACCAACCGGCCTGTTGGTCCTGTGGACCGGTTGGACCAACCGGCCTGTTGGTCCTGTGGACCGGTTGGACCAACCGGCCTGTTGGTCCTGTGGACCGGTTGGACCAACCGGCCAGTTGGTCCTGTGGACCGGTTGGACCAACCGGCCAGTTGGTCCTGTGGACCGGTTGGACCAACCGGCCTGTTGGTCCTGTGGACCGGTTGGACCAACCGGCCTGTTGGTCCTGTGGACCGGTTGGACCAACCGGCCTGTTGGTCCTGTGGACCGGTTGGACCAACCGGCCAGTTGGTCTGTGGACCGGTTGGACCAACCGGCCTGTTGGTCCTGTGGACCGGTTGGACCAACCGGCCTGTTGGTCCTGTGGACCGGTTGGACCAACCGGCCAGTTGGTCCTGTGGACCGGTTGGACCAACCGGCCAGTTGGTCCTGTGGACCGGTTGGACCAACCGGCCAGTTGGTCCTGGGACCGGTTGGACCAACCGGCCTGTTGGTCCTGTGGACCGGTTGGACCAACCGGCCTGTTGGTCCTGTGGACCGGTTGGACCAACCGGCCAGTTGGTCCTGGGACCGGTTGGACCAACCGGCCTGTTGGTCCTGTGGACCGGTTGGACCAACCGGCCTGTTGGTCCTGTGGACCGGTTGGACCAACCGGCCTGTTGGTCCTGTGGACCGGTTGGACCAACCGGCCTGTTGGTCCTGTGGACCGGTTGGACCAACCGGCCAGTTGGTCCTGTGGACCGGTTGGACCAAACGGCCTGTTGGTCTGTGGACCGGTTGGACCAACCGGCCTGTTGGTCCTGTGGACCGGTTGGACCAACCGGCCTGTTGGTCCTGTGGACCGGTTGGACCAACCGGCCAGTTGGTCCTGTGGACCGGTTGGACCAACCGGCCTGTTGGTCCTGTGGACCGGTTGGACCAACGGCCTGTTGGTCCTGTGGACCGGTTGGACCAACCGGCCAGTTGGTCCTGTGGACCGGTTGGACCAACCGGCCTGTTGGTCCTGTGGACCGGTTGGACCAACCGGCCTGTTGGTCCTGTGGACCGGTTGGACCAACGGCCAGTTGGTCCTGTGGACCGGTTGGACCAACCGGCCTGTTGGTCCTGTGGACCGGTTGGACCAACGGCCTGTTGGTCCTGTGGACCGGTTGGACCAACCGGCCAGTTGGTGTGTGGACCGGTTGGACCAACGGCCAGTTGGTCCTGTGGACCGGTTGGACCAACCGGCCTGTTGGTCCTGTGGACCGGTTGGACCAACGGCCTGTTGGTCCTGTGGACCGGTTGGACCAACCGGCCTGTTGGTCCTGTGGACCGGTTGGACCAACCGGCCTGTTGGTCCTGTGGACCGGTTGGACCAACCGGCCTGTTGGTCCTGTGGACCGGTTGGACCAACCGGCCTGTTGGTCCTGTGGACCGGTTGGACCAACCGGCCAGTTGGTCCTGTGGACCGGTTGTGGACCAACCGGCCTGTTGGTCCTGTGGACCGGTTGGACCAACCGGCCTGTTGGTCCTGTGGACCGGTTGGACCAACCGGCCTGTTGGTCCTGTGGACCGGTTGGACCAACCGGCCTGTTGGTCTGTGGACCGGTTGGACCAACCGGCCTGTTGGTCCTGTGGACCGGTTGGACCAACCGGCCTGTTGGTCCTGTGGACCGGTTGGACCAACCGGCCTGTTGGTCCTGTGGACCGGTTGGACCAACCGGCCTGTTGGTCCTGGGACCGGTTGGACCAACCGGCCAGTTGGTCCTGTGGACCGGTTTGGACCAACCGGCCTGTTGGTCCTGTGGACCGGTTGGACCAACCGGCCTGTTGGTCCTGTGGGACCGGTTGGACCAACCGGCCTGTTGGTCCTGTGGACCGGTTGGACCAACCGGCCTGTTGGTCCTGTGGACCGGTTGGACCAACCGGCCTGTTGGTCTGTGGACCGGTTGGACCAACCGGCCTGTTGGTCCTGTGGACCGGTTGGACCAACCGGCCTGTTGGTCTGTGGACCGGTTGGACCAACCGGCCAGTTGGTCCTGTGGACCGGTTGGACCAACCGGCCAGTTGGTCCTGTGGACCGGTTGGACCAACCGGCCTGTTGGTCCTGTGGACCGGTTGGACAAACGGGCCAGTTGGTCCTGTGGACCGGTTGGACCAACCGGCCTGTTGGTCCTGTGGACCGGTTGGACCAACGGCCGTTGGTCCTGTGGACGGTTGGACCAACCGGCCTGTTGGTCCTGTGGACCGGTTGGACCAACCGGCCTGTTGGTCCTGTGGACCGGTTGGACCAACGGCCTGTTGGTCCTGTGGACGGTTGGACCAACCGGCCAGTTGGTCCTGTGGACGGTTGGACCAACCGGCCTGTTGGTCCTGTGGACCGGTTGGACCAACGGCCAGTTGGTCTGTGTGGACCGGTTGGACCAACCGGCAGTTGGTCCTGTGGACCGGTGGGACCAACCGGCCAGTTGGTCCTGTGGACCGGTTGGACCAACCGGCCAGTTGGTCCTGTGGACCGGTTGGACCAACCGGCCTGTTGGTCTGTGTGGACCGGTTGGACAAACCGGCCTGTTGGTCCTGTGGACCGGTTGGACCAAACCGGCCCATGGTCCTGTGGACCGGTTGGACCAACCGGCCTGTTGGTCCTGTGGACCGGTTGGGACCAAACGGCCTGTTGGTCCTGTGGACCGGTTGGACAAACCGGCCAGTTGGTCCTGTGGACCGGTTGGACCAACGGCCAGTTGGTCCTGTGGGAACGGTTGGACCAACCGGCTGTTGGTCTGTGGAGGTTGGACCAACCGGCCTGTTGGTCCTGTGGACCGGTTGGACCAACGGCCTGTTGGTCCTGTGGACGGTTGGACCAACGGCCAGTTGGTCCTGTGGACCAGGTTGGACCAACCGGCCTGTTGGTCCTGTGGACGGTTGGACCAAACGGCCAGTTGGTCTGTGGACCGGTTGGACCAACCGGCCAATGGTCCTGTGGACCGGTTGGACCAACCGGCCAGTTGGTCCTGTGGACCGGTTGGACCAACCGGCAGTTGGTCCTGTGGACCGGTGGACCAACCGGCCTGTGGTCCTGGGACCGGTTGGACAACCGGCCAGTTGGTCCTGTGGACCGGTGGACCAACCGGCCAGTTGGTCCTGTGGACCGGTGGGACCAACCGG